ATAAACACCTTTAAGTAATTCCAACCCACGACTCCGACCCACACCAGCCAGGAACAGAGTCGGGGTGAGTGATAACGATGGTTCTCGATCTGGTTGGTCAGTTTGTTAAGGGAAGGCATCAACGCCTCTGCTCATTACCTGGGCCAGAGCAGAATTCGGTACCATAGCCGGCGACACGTATTTAGCGATACAAGCTTGTGTATGTGATTGTGTATGTGGCCAACACCAGTGGGCTATGTAATCACATGCTTATTGAATACGGTTATTGCATAATTCTTTGGCGATTTAAAGATGTTGGTAAAAGCATTTACACCATTGGAACCTCATTTGCTAGTAAAAATATGATAATTGGTTTTTTACCCTTCTATCTGGCAACAAAACTGACACTTTTTTTACAAGGAGTCATGCTTACATAGACCACAATACCTGCAGTCATAATGCAAATAAAAGGCTTCGACTAAAAAAAAAGGTGTCAGTTTTGTTGCCAGATAGAAGGGTAAAAAACCAATGATCATATTTTTACTGGCACATGAGGTTCCAATGGTGTAAATGCTTACCCCGAGCTCTCATACTCTGATGGTGCATTGTCTTTGAGTTGTGCGCCTTTTGGCGGCATCTGGTCCAACCCATGTGAGACTAGGCTCTAAGAAAAGCTGTCTCGGGTGTGGACCAATCAACTTCAAGGACAGTGCATATTATCAGATTTTTTTTTGTTTGCATTATGACTGCAGGTATTGTGGTCTATGTAAACATGACTCCTTGTAAAAAAGGTGTCAGTTTTGTTTCCAGATAGAAGGGTAAAAAAACAATTATCATGTTGGTAAAACTCAAGTGTTGCCATCTCAGGTGGCACCAATAACTAAATATTTGCTCTTGACTCATGAACTGGTAGGACTAGAGTCTGAGTGTCTCTGTGTGGCTGGTTTAAGGCTTCGACGAGAGTCTGGGTGTCTCTGTGTGGCTGGTTTAAGGGTTCGACGAGAGTCTGGGTGTCTCTGTGTGGCTGGTTTAAGGGTTCGACTAGAGTCTGGGTGTCTCTGTGTGGCTGGTTTAAGGGTTCGACTAGAGTCTGGGTGTCTGGTTTAAGGTTTGGGCGAGAGTCTGGTTGGTCGGTGTGGCTAAAGCTCGTGCCGGCGGCTCAGGTTAATTGGCTATGGTGAAGAGTCTGACAAGTAGTGCCTGGTTCACAACGGTGGTGAGGGTGGGGTAATGCGAGCGTGTGGTTGGCTGGTGTCATTGGGGCTTGGTGTTGGGCTAGGGATAGGCTTTTTGGCGAGACCTGTGCATGGTTGGTTGATATAATTGCAGGCGTTTTGTTGGAGGTGGAGCGAGGGAAAGATGCAGGTTGGCTTGTGAGCTCTTCACCAACAAAGACAAATAACCTAAACAGACTGTTGGGGAAAGTGCTGTTAGCGAGCACCTATGAAGGCCGGAATGGTCGACGAGGGGGTGGGTGGCCAGCACCACTCCCGACCGCCTTTGTTTCCCTAGTGGCGATATTTATTATACACCGCACTAGGTACTCATTTGAGGCTGAGTGGACCTAGGGGAGGCCCAGGATCAGTTCAAATAATCGTCACCGGTGGAGGCCGTGAGCGGGAATCGAACTCGGGCGGCCGGGTTTATAGCGCAGCGCGCTTACCACTACACTACCGCTCCCCACCAACAACCCCCCTGCCCCCTCAAACACCATCTCCACGCTTGGCTCTCTCACCGATGGTCTCCGTCCGCTCTCCACGCCGCTCATCTCTCTCTCTGTGTCTCTCTGCGTGCGTGCACGGGCGCGGGAGCCGCGTGCTGACTCCGAGCCGCGTTCCCACCGCAATTAAATAAAGAAGGCGTTGCCATGGCGAGCCGGGCTCCGGGGGACGAGACGTGGCGGCGTTGGCGGTCAGAGGAGAAAAAAAAAGGAAATCAGCATTCTCAGCGGCAGTCGCGGCTCGCTTCACGATAAACACACGGCACTCTCTCCCTCTCACTCCACGTGGGGTACGAGTGTTCCACACCACGTGGTGGTGGTTGCATTGATTAACCGATTCATGGACCGCGAGGGGGGTGTTGTTGGTGTTATTGATTGTTAAGCGCCGATTGTAAATGTAATTATTGTCAAATTGTCGCACGGATGAAATCACCCGCAGGGTGGATTAAGCACGGATCAATGTATATATGTGGGGTTGAAGATAAATCAGAAATAAGGCGTGATGTTTGTAATGAATTCGGCAGGAGGTGTTGTGATGATGGGGAATGGAGTGAGAGGCGATGCGCGCGGGAGCCGTGGGTCGCGGTGATTGAGCCGTGGGTCGTGGTGACTGAGCCGCGGTGACTGAGCCGTGGGTCGTGGTGACTGAGCCTGACGGGGCACACAGGGCAGGGAGGGGGGGGGTCCTGCTGTGTCAACTGAAATAATTCGTGGAAGCGCTGAGTGGATGCGGTGGAGCGGGTGGGGGGGGCGCTGTGGCAGTCAAGGGCTCCCATGGTTCGATACCCCCCCCGCGCGCCCCGCCCAACATTAATAAACAGTAACAATTAACAATGTAACTATTCACCCATGAAATTATTTTTTACGCCCACGATGCATTCATGCAGTGAAATAAGCGCTTGGGAGAAACCTATTTTGAATCATAACGCTATAGATTATTTTATTATTATTATGGATGGACTCGTCCCTGCCATATAAATATGGAGCTACGACCAGTCGGTTTGGGCATTAAACAGGAGATGAGCGACGGTCCATATTTGAGTTCCCACCCTCACCCACACTCCCCTTCCACAGCGATTATGGGCGCCCTGGTGGCGAGATGTGAAATGCCTCGCCTGGTATGCAGGAGGTCCTGGGTTTTGATCGCGACCCTGAGCCTATACGTCTGCGTCTTTCTACTTCGCGGCCGCGTGGATTCTTCTCCGGGTCCTCCGAGTTTTCCCTCCGCATTTAGAAGCGCGCATTTAGAGTATTTGAGCTGCTATAAATGTCCACATTATAAGGCACTTTGTTGAGCCATCATTTGCGGTCAGGTCGCTTCTGACAAAGAGCTGCATAGCTCAGTGAGCCTTTCCTGGTAAAATATAAATAGTTTAGTTAATAGTTTTAGTAGTTTCAAATTCATCTCACGACTTCGGCTCCCAATTCCATTCGTCCCGTTTCACCGACTCGCTTGTAAAGTTCCGTTTCCTCCGTCGATCAAACGTACCGATCATCATCGACTTGTCATCTCCTCACGCGTACGATTCCACGGTTGTGTCGTTCGCGGAGTGATATATTTTAATCGACGCGTCGGTACCCGCCGAGTGATTTTCTGCTCGAACGATGCCCATTGAGGAGTTGCTTGTTCCCTGTTCACAGCCCTGAGCCAGTGGTGGAAATTCCACATTCCTTTTTCTTCCTATATTCGCATGGAAGTATAATAGGTGACGTTTTGGGCGATGGGCCGTCTTCATAGCACATAAAGAGAGAATTTAGAGATCGAATTGATAATAAGGGTTGCAGGCTGCACGTGTTTACACAATGGGGCCTGATGAGAATTACATTTACAATGTTTTCCTGATGAGCAATGTTTGAATAGCTATATGAATAGTTACACTCATAGTAGCTATTGAGTGGCAAAACCCTTTCATAATTAACAAAATATTGCTACATTGATGAATTCGTCTCAATAATTCACATTTCGTAATTATAAATGCGATACAAAATTAACAACACTTCATGTGACCTCCTTTGCCAGTACCAAAATATGAGAATAGGTTTTCCCCTTTTTTTCTGGCAACAAAACAAGTGTTAAGATGTTAAAACACCAAACTGAAACCTTTTACATGGACTCGTGTCTGCATTAACCACAATACTTGTGGTCAAAATGCAAACAAAAAACGTACTCTGATAATATATGCATTGTCTTTGAAACTGGTTGGACCAATCAGTCTTTGAAACTGATTTCAGTTTGGTGTTTTAACATCTTGAGACCTGTTTTGTTGCCAAAAAAGGTGGAAAACCTATTCTCATCAACAACACTCTTGACTTTTTGCATTCACTGCTCGGACAAGGGAAGGAATCGAATCGCGGATCGCCAAGCGGAGTGAATCGCTGAGCCAAAAGGCCGCTATCCGAGAGCGGCTCTGATGGGCAGCACGCGATATCTTCGTGTTCTCCAGCGCCGGCAGAAACACGTGGACACGGGGATATGGGGTCACGTGGTCACGGGGACGAGGGGATACGGGGTCACACGGTCACGGGGACGAGGGGATACGGGGTCATTGGAACACGTGGACATGGGGTCACATTGATAGGGGGACACACGATTACGGGAATACGGGGCACGGGATCAGGGTAGGGGGCACGTGGTCACACTTCCCTCTCCAATTACGAAGCATTCCCATTCATTCTTCGCTCACTCTTCACTCGCGGTGTCGTAGGGTGGGCGAGCGGCCGCCCGCCCGCGCGAGAACAACGCACGAGGGGTTCACAGACGCCGCCTAAACGCGAGCGGGGTGTTTGTTGAGTGGTGTTTATTTATTTATTACGGATGGGGGGGGTACATTTAAACGTCACACACTACTTCAAACGAGCCAACAATTGCTTTGCACTGAGATCTACGTTCACGATTGGTGTGCGTGAGCCTGAAGAAGCTAAAAGTTAAATAAACGCCACGACTCGACGCGTCTCCCGACACACACACAGGCGCCACCCCCACCACCCCCCACCATCCCCACTACCGCCCCCACCACCCCCACTACCGCTCCCACGAATTCACGCGGGCGAGGAGGAGGGGGGGCCCTGCGACCAACACGACAAGAGGTCTCATCATTGCGGGGTTCCCCTGTTCGTACCCAGGTTCAACTAAACGATTACAACTTTTATCTTCAAATATTAACCAGGTTAGGCCCACTGAGCGATGTGGGCTCCTTTTTTTCTCTCCCAGAAGCGACCTGAAGCCACGAAGTGGCTTCATCGTGTGGATATTTACGGCAGCCAAATCCTCTGAACGCGTGACGTTGATTCTAAATGTGGAGGGGAAAACCCGGAGATAAATCCACGCGACCGCGGGGAGAGTGACACCGCAAACTCGAAATATACAGCAGGCGTCAGGGTCGGGTTCGAACCCACGACCTCCTGCATACCCGGCTAGGTAGTCAACATCTCATAGCCACCGTGGCGCACAGGTACCCCCCTCCACAGCTCGCCGTTAGATCCCACAGGTGTGTCTGGGTGTTCAGGGGGAGTCGCTGTACCGGTGGGGGGTGGGGGAGTTTGTCGTGGTGATCAACACTTCGCAGCGTCACCTCGATAGAACCCCTAAAGAGTCTTGCCTGCGCCATCCCGCAAACATCGTCGTCTGCGACGCGGGCAGTGACTCGCCCGGGGGCTGAAGTGGGAAAAAACGTCTTCTTTCAAATAAACTGCAGCGGCCAATCAGAAACCCTCACGCCTCGTACTCACGCCAGTTCGTTGTCCCTCCTCTCCCCCGACACTCCGATGAGCACGGTCGGCTACGTGCGGTGCGAAAGAAGTCCAACGTACGTGCACACACGCTCGGCGACACGGCGCGCCCGTTAGCACCCTCTCTCTCTCTCTCTGAGCCCCACAGCCAACTCTGATTATTGGTGGCGGCTGCATTTTTTTTTTACCAAGCCCCGCAGTCGCAAGTTGCTTTAATTCGTAATTCCCTCCGTTGTATTGCTCTTCCGGTAGCTCCCTTGATGGTTACGGCTACGGAGTCCGTGGCGATTATAATCAGTGGGTCTCTGAAGTACCCGGCCACCCCTGACGAACAGCAACGACTACCCCCCCCCCCCTCCATTCAGAGACAGGACCTTTGTCGAGGTGGCTAGGAGAGAGTTAAAGACGCCATCACGGACAATGCCGCTCACATTGCCCCCCCTCTCCAAGATCCCGCAACTGCTGCAGTCGACAGCTGACCCACGCCAGAGGCTCTACTCTTTCACTCATGGAGGTTTACACAGTGGGTGTGAATGCCCCCCCCCCGATATTAGGTGGTGCCCCCTGTTTTACTTGGCCTAGAATAGCCACTGAACAGCGCTTTGTCGGCAACTGAGTCGCATTGTTGTCGGGATTAAGTGGCCGAGGCGCTGTGGTCACAGCGAGGCGATGCGATCTGGGCAATGAGCCATCCTCCTCCTTGGCTGCGCCGGAGGTAGTGCCCAGACTTAGGGGAAACTCACAAAGTACACAAAGGACGAGGGTATTCGCACTTGGGAGCCGCGCCGAGTACACGCACCTGCACCCCCCTGAAACACAAGTGCAGGCAGCGGCGAGTTCGGGACTCCAGGTTCAAGAGGCGATAATCCCCCGCGGGATTTCCAGTCTCGGGTGACACGCGCAGGTGAGTTCGTTGATGATCGGAACGCGAAGGCAACGGGTGATGACGATGGTGTTGATGCACCAGTGCTGGGCTCTCCGCAGGCCAGTTCTCCGGGGAAGATCAGTAGACGGCCTTTTATGACTTTGTGTGTCTAACCATCGGCTACTGCAGAAGACCAAGATGATATTTACTATCTGCTCGATACGTTAACACCAACCCCGGCACCTCGAGCACGTGGCTCCTCCTCACATCCTCTTGGTTGACGCTGCCCACCAGGTTCTCTGAGCTGGAGAGAACCTCGTGGGTGGAGGAGGTGCAGGGATTCGGCCACAGCCTCCACCGCTACTTTTGAGACTTGAGGATACAGCTGAGCGTGGGGGCTTTGCCGATGAGGACCTCTAGGAAGAGGGCTCGCTTGGAGGGCTTGCCATGAGGAGACCGGGTTCAAAATAACATGAACCTATTGTTGCCAGCAGAGTTGGTCAGCATTGTGCCATCATCAGCATCTTCACACGTCACCTTCGCATTCCAGTTACTCAGAAAATCTATTGGCACTTGTCACCCGAGACTGGAAGACTCGGGGTGATGTGTGTAGCCTCCTCAACCTGGAGCCACGAGCCGACACTGCCTCTAAAACAAACGACTCCACCCCCCACTACCCCTACTGCCTCCACCCACCCCCACCTCTTAATTTCTCTGCAACGGGGATCAAACCTTGCAGTCTCGCTCTTACCTTCGCCCCTACCCCCTCTGTCCCGTCAGCACACACTGGAGCTATACACAGCGTCGCCTACCACACCAAAGCACACTTGTCATCATTAATACATAAGTGTTGAGCTGGATGCCACTAAACAACTCCAAGCCGCGACAAGTCAGTACCATAAAAGAGTGAAACACAACGCAAAGGAGGAGGTGACGTGGTGCCTATGGGGTGTTGGCCGCTGGAGGGATGTGCGGGGTTTGTGACCGCCACGCGTTCCACCATCGCCCCCTCCCCCCGGGGTCGCCAGGGTACCACGTGACGGGCCGGTGTCTCTGACCGCACGTCCGCAACGCGTCCTAACCTCGTGGCTTCTGATCGACGAACCCTCGTCCCCGGCACCCCCCGTCATTCTCAAGCAAACCTCTCGGCTTAGGGCGCGCTTTTGTTTAATAACCGCACCAATCAGGTAAGCCAATAAATAAATATGCTACTAGCTAATCAAAGAAATACATAAATACCAGTTGAACACACACACACGTCAATAAATTAATGTTCACGAGTAGCAGTAAGGCTCCTTACAGTATTGTCGTGTCGCTAGCAATGAATAATACAGAACAATGTGACTCGTGCAGATGTGAGGAATCGGATTCAGAGTGGCTGGTGCACGTGGGGAGAAGGTGACAGGAAATTCTCCGTGACATTGCGGATTCCTGGCAGGTAGAAAAGTAAGATCTACGAGAACGCGGTTAAACCGGTCACCGTAGGTGGGTCTGAACGCTGGGAGCTGCCAAGAAGCAGCGGTACCGAGGGCGTTAAGGGGATCCTTCCGGAAGAAAATAAAAAATCGAGAGCGGTGAGAGTGAGATACGAGCAGAATTGGAGGATCCGAAGCAGAGCTGCGGGACGAGGCGAAGCGGAACGAGCAGAAGGAGGAGGAGACAAATCTGACTCAGATTCCCCAAATCTGCGCGCGTGTCAGCGGCAGCTGCACGCGTGTCCCCTAGATCACCGCGCGTGGCCTCACCCCCGCGCGCACGGCGTGTGTCCGCATGTGCGCATGCGTGCGTGTGTGTGAGTGAGCACGCGTGCGGGTGCATGCGCTGTGTGTGTGAGCGTGGGTGTGAGCGTGCGTGAGTGTGTGTGAGCACGCGTGCGGGTGCATGCGCTGTGTGTGTGAGCGTGCGTGTGAGCATGCGCACGCGTGCATGCGCTATGTGCGTGCGTGTGCATGGATCGCGATCCCGTGCGTGCACCCGTGTCTTTGCGCCCCAGCGTGCGTGTGCGTGCGCCGAATCGAAACACGCGCCGCCGCCGCCGCAGCCACGTCACACGGAGGCGCTGGGTTCCTCCAGCCTGGCTGGGGGGGGCGTGCCCCCCGTGCCCCCCGTGCCCCCCGCGACGCCCTTGCCCTCGGCCCCGACCTCAGTCCCGGCGCCGCCCCCCCAGGGCGAGGCTCCTGCGTCGTCGCTGTCGTCACCGCCGTCATCGTTGTTGTTGTTGTTGTCCCGGGCCGCGGGCTGGTGGGAGGCGGTGTGCGACAGGGACTGCCTCACCACGGTGTAGCGGTTGACGAGCGTCAGGAAGCGGCCGGGGGGCTCCACCCCCTCCCCCGCGTAGTACGACTCCATGAGGCCCACGGGCACGCAGCGTTTGTGCTGGGGTTGGGGGGGGGCATACGGGGAGATGAGAGCGGGGGGGGGGGGTCGTGGGTCGAGAGGGATGGAGCAGGAAACAGGAGAGGGGGAGACGGATTGAGAGAATGTGCAAGGTAGGGAAAGGGGGACACGAGACGATGGGGGGCGTTGGGATGCACGTGGATATACAGCAGGGAGGCAAAGTGGTGGGAGATGGAAAAGAGCCGGAGACACAGACAGGGAAACAGAATAAGATGGGAAGAGGAGGAGGTGGACGAGGAAAGGATACGGAGTCAATCCCATGTGTATTTGCTTCACAGAAAATCCCGTCTAGCCAGTTACCTAGCGAGATGCGCAAGGTAGATCCGTGGTGCATCAGCACCGAGCGAGAACATTCATGGCATCACTGGAATCCGTGCGAGTGTCCGCGACAGTAAGAAGACGACGAGAAGCGCAGAGGGCGAGAATATGTGATGATTGTTGCTTAAGTTCTGCACATCGCGCCACGTGGCGAGGTGATGTGTGGTGCACATCGCGCCACGTGGCGAGGTGATGTGGTGCACATCGCGCCACGTGGCGAGGTGATGTGTGGTGCACATCGCGCCACGTGGCGAGGTGATGTGTGGTGCACATCGCGCCACGTGGCGAGGTGATGTGGTGCCCATCGCGCCACGTGGCGAGGTGATGTGTGGTGCACATCGCGCCACGTGGCGGGGTGATGTGTGGTGCACATCGCGCCACGTGGCGAGGTGATGTGTGGTGCACATCGCGCCACGTGGCGAGGTGATGTGTGACTCAGCCGCTCGTGCCTCCGTGGTCGATCAATATTTGTTATCACTCTACGCCCCCCCCCTCCCCTAAAGCTCCCAACTCCAACTCCAGCTGATCCAATATGCCACTGCCAGACTCAGCACCTGCACCAGTCCCCAAATGGACCCACGATCAACGTCAAGATCGCACTCGCCGTCTTCAAGATACCCCATGGACTTGTCCCTACCTACTTGCATCTTGCCCTCTCACCTCACTCTAGTTTCTTCCATGCACTCTCCTACTTCTCTCCTCTCATCTCACTCTACTCCCCGCTGCGCCCCAGCAACCAACCCTTCCTGTCGAAGCCCCCAGTCACCCTTCGCTTAGTGGGAGATCGTTCCTTCTCCTTGCTGCCTCAATACTCTGGAAGCCCCTTCCATCCGTGCTGTTAACTCCCTGCTCATATTTAAATTCAAAGCTAAATCCATTCCTTATTTTATCTACAGTTGCAATGCTCTGTAATCGTTGTATTGATCGCATAGCTCTCGCCATAGCAATGTGGAATGCGCACCGCTGAATGTATGGCTAGGCACGTACCTGCAGGTAGGATCCCTCGGGGCAGCTCTGTTCGTACTTGTACACCTTGTAGACGACTAGAAAGACGACGCAGGCCAGGAACGCGAGGCCGAACATCACCAGCAGAGTGAGCTGTGGATGCACACGTGGGTTGCAGAGTGAGTGCGCGTTTGTGCTGCATCGCAGCAAGTTGCCACAGTGGGGAGCGCAGTTGCTGCATCTGTCAGTCATCTCAGTGAGGTGACCCATGGCACCTGATCTGTCCCGTGACCTCCTGCCAGCGAGCCTTCGACACTTCACGTGGCCTCAAACTGGTGAACGGCAGCGGTTGTTGTTGCGTGCTGTATTGAACGTCGTGCGTTATGTTTGTAAAGCTCGTGTGTGTGTGTGAGAGTTCGTATGTTTGTGAGCGAATTCATTTGCATTTTATTTATGAGCTGATGGGTGTAAGTTCAAGAATGTGTGTGTATGTATGAGTTTGTGTGTGTGTCAGTTCAGTGAATGCGTGAGTTCATGAACGTGTGTGTAGGAGTTCGTGTGTATGTTGCAGAGTGTATGTATAAGTTAATGTGTGTGTGTGGAAATATGTATGAGTTCATGTGTGTATGATCGTGGGTGTGTGTGCGAGTCACGGTTGTGTGAGTAGGCGTGCAGGTGTGTTGATAAAGGTGGTACATCGGCCAGTCATCTCAGTCGACCCATGTCACCTGGGTCTGTCTCGTGACCTCCTGCCAGCGGGCGTTCGACACATCACTCGGCCTTAACGTGCACATAGCCTGGCACAAGCGCCGTGGTGACGTCACAGCCACTTAGTGGCGAATGGCGGTTGTTGTTGCTGCTGGTGTGTGGAGTGGGGATGGGGAGGCGTTGCGATGGTGGAAGGGCACCTCCATAACGAACAACTGTCGGGAGGAGCCATTCCAGTCGTGTTCAAAATCAGACATTGTTTGGACTTTGTGCTAAGTTCTTGGCTTTTATTCAAACATCACCATTTTGCAATCAGGCCTGCCAGAAGCTCGGAATCAAGCCCAAACATGCTTCCGAGCTTATTCGGAGCATTTTAATAATTAAATACACATTTCCATTGTACTAATGAGAAATTCAGTGGATGCATGAGACTACATTACAATTTCCAACATTTAATAACATAAGAGGATTAGAGAATAGCAGACGCAGAGTGAGCACCTAATTCACTCTCGTGCCCGTGGATGGCAGCGGCTGAAAATAATCGCAATAATCTCACAATGTACACAGGCACTAAACTATTAAACAATGTTTTATTTTACCAGGTAAGGCTCACTGAGCTATATAGCTCTTTCTTAGAAGTGACCTGGCCACAAATGATAGCTCAAGAAAGTGGCTTTTGTGGAATTTTATAGCAGCCAAATAATCTAAGCGCATGATTCTAAATGTGAAGGGAGAACATGCAAACACCAAATATACAGCAGGCATCAGAGTCGGGATGGAACCCACGACCTCCTGCATACCAGGCGAGGGAGATAACATCTCGCCACCGCGGCATACTTGAGTGAGTCTCAAGATTCGTTTTCAGGAGCATACTTGTATTGGAATGAAATTAAAACAAAAAGGGAGCCGTGCTAGCAATGATGTACAAGCATAAAAACGCAGCTCTTTCAGAAGCAACGTAGTCAGAAACATTAGCTTACAAGACGGTATTGTGCAACATTCCCCCCTCCCCCAGCGATTCTATGAATGATGATCACGAAATTATGTCAATACTTGATGAAGTCATCTATTACTCTAAACCTCATTGTCAGTCTCTTTAAAATCGCGACATTTGTCCCGATTGCACAGTGGCCAAACCACAAGCATAAATGTAAAAGAAGCACATAATATAATTATTTAGTGCACAAACGTAAATAATATATTCGTATAAGCGCAACGTGACCCGATAATGCTCTATTTGAATCTACGAACGCATGCGGAAGCGTCACACGCCGAATGAGGAAGACATCCGGCTGTAGTGTGGCGATAATTACCACGGCGGGTGAGCTGTGTCAGTTGTCTACTCGCTCGCGTGCCAGTGTATTACAATGCTTACCCAGTTGCTTGCTAATGGATGTTCTTCTTGTCTGTATTATCTGTGCAGCTCAGCCACCCCCCCACCACCACCCTCCATTGTGAACCAACCCAGCGCACATCAACCCCACAACAATGCCCATGTAATTGCCTGCCCAATGGAGCCACTTACTCATCCGCCATTACCGCGCGCGTCACGTGCAAAAATGTGGTTTTCGCTCATTCCCGAAAACCACCATGAACGCGAACAATCGCTGGCGTTCTCCCTTTGTCGATGTGACCGTGTCCCAATTGTAACCATCGTGCACGAGTGATGCGCTGAGAAGCCACGTGGTGACGCCTCAGGCCTAGTTGCCCCTGACAACCATGTAGGGCCGCAGCCACCATTTTGTCACCTGGTTGTCGACACGGGTGGTTAAACCCTCGTGTACGCGACGCCGGCCCACTTTCATTTCCGTCTGAGATTTGTTTTTGGTCAAAAACGCGCAAATGTCACTGCCAGTCAGCAAAAAGTCGGCAACATCACCCAGGCACAGGCTCTTGGCGATGCGTTTCGGCCATTTTGTCAAGATGTTATCTGAACCCACGTTCTAGTCACCAAATACATACGACGTTGTGGCAAAATTGTTTGACATTGAACGTCATGCAACTATAGGAATTGTTTTGCCTGTTTACTAGGGTGTGTGTATTAGTAACAGCCCTGCTTTCTAATACAGTCTCTGTGGCAATTATTGCTTATTTAGAGTGTACGAGTTCTAAACTGTTTTTTTATGTTGTATGTACACTGAATGAGCCGCACCGTGAATGTGGACGGCGCATGCCAATAACATCTGGGAGAATTAACAGCGCTGACTCTGCTGACGAGACTGCGAAGGTCGAAACAGGCACAACGTTTGCCTGATTAAACAAATAAACTTATTGGCGGTACACCGGTGCACGATATAAAAAAATCCGCAATAATTATTGATTTTTCCCTGCGATTTGCAACCTCAGTCAGAAAATCTTGCAGGGTGCATCAAAATCAGTGCTCGTGATGTCGAAGCAGTCGAAAGACGAATGTCGGTTCAAATGATGATTTTAAACAGTTTGATGGGGACCGGTGTGTTATGTGGCACCGGTGTACACCGCCAATACGTCCAAATGCTGCTGTATGGAGGGTGCTTTTGCGTTTAATCGTCGAAAAGGTGCCAGCATCTCCTGCAGCTGGACATAGTCGGTTCATAAATTCTGTTCACGGGATAGACGGGGGGGGGGGGGGGCAGTCTGTTCCAGACCCACGGCGACTCAATGTCTTACCTTGAACTTCTCGGAGGCGCTGTCGTTGAAGTTCACCGTGAACTCCGTGACGTTTGGAATCCCGAGTTTGCCTCTCCTCTTTGGCTGCGGTTGGAAGTTTGTCCTGGTCTTAATGATAATCTTGGGAAGAGGAGGCAACGGGAGGAGCGGAGGGTTGGTGCAGAGAGAGAGAAAGCGAGGATGGGACACCACGCGGCAAACAGGCATCGATTTTGCAAGGAGAGTGAGGAGGCAGCTTGCGGTGTCGGTTTCGCCAGTGAAACCGATCCTCTTCGCTGTTGTGACAGCTGCTTTGCCAGCCCCATTCAAAACGTAATTAATTGAACACTTGTTCACGCCTAACGATGTAACGATCTGACAGCTCACGCATGCGTCTGGAACGCAGCCTCTGCCATCACGTACATACATATAGACGGACAAAGAACAGAGACCCCCAGTATAGCCTGCAGACAGATTGCGGAGGCAAGAGCTGCTAGCGAACGCCTATGAAAACCTGCACAGGGCACTAAGGGGTGCATTGGTGAGTACCACCCCAGTTCTGAATACCGTACCAGGTACTCATGCAGGGCTTAATCGAACTAGAGGCCCAGGACACGTTCTGATATCACTCGCCACTGATGTTAGCCGTCGCTGGGATTCGAACTCAGGTGGCATGGTTCGTCGTGATGCTGTGGTTATTGTATATGGATTTAACGACGCACAGAATAGTGCATTGCATTTGCAAATACTTTCAGGCTTATGCAGAGCACCAGCTCCAAAGAACTGCATGTGTGACCATTTTCTCGTTGCAAGGCTGGTCTGCATGAGGCTGAGAGGCTTGTACATACATGCACCTGGAGCTCTGTGTGCTGTCAAATCTATTCTGTTTCCAGCCGGCACTGATAGTTGTATAGTGGTTGGGATTCCTGGTCGTTGCAGATTCGAAAAGCAATACGGCCATAACATTGGCTCTTCGTGGGTCGGTATGTGATCTGGAACGAGGCTGTGTGAATTATGCACGCAGCGTGGTGACGATGTCATCCGGCAGACAAGGAGCGACCGCGTGGTCACAATCACGCCTTCTGCTCTCGAGAAATCCCACGCGTGGCGTGGAATATTATTATTATTATGATCACGACCTGTACGAGTCTTTTATTGGAGCCTACGCTCACGTTCCTGTCTGCTGGGTTTCTCGCCTGTCCTGTCCAGCCGATGTCTGCACACCAAACACTCTGCAGTCAATTCCACCGTCACTCGCGCTGTTTGTCACTGGCCACTTCGCCTTTCTTTGGGGGGCAACTGTGCTCAGCAACCGTGATCACAAAAACGCTCGACAGTATATGTTCTGCATTGCACCACCCCTAGGTGCAAAAGAGGTGGGGGGGAGGGAATGGGGCTTAAAGACGCCTCGACAATCGGAAGGGGCATCGGAGGGCTGGGGGGGATGGGCGAGGAGAACAGAGCGAAGCTGGAAATTATCATCTCAAAAGGTCACCCCCGTGCCTCGCGACTACGCCGTGGCAGAGGCAGCTTGTCGCCAGGTCCCTCCGAACCGGAGGCCGAGCCTCCTCGGCCCGCGAATCGATTCTCCTTGAATCCACAGCAGCACCAATTGGAATGCACCGCCACCGCGCGCGCCTCTCTCTCTCCTCTCATCTGTACCCCGCGCACGTGGGCGCCAAGTGCATTGGCGCTAAATGAGATGGATCGGCCAATAACCCGGCTGAACCCTCGACGGACGAGCCCGTGCCGCATTAATAACTCCCGGTGACAGTCATTTACATTGGTTATTAATGGATTAATATTTCATGAGCGGGTAGGACTACGGATAATGTTACATTTATCCGCACCAGGCAAATTGTGCCCCGGGGGCAGACGGGCGCGGCCGTGGCCGTGGGGCGCACGCGGCGCTCTCTGGCGCTGGTTTGTTGCGCTAACGCCGTTCTAACGCTCACTCGTTCAAGCGCCCTCGCGCCGCCCGCCTCCGTCTGGCAGCGGCATCTCCTCTCTTACGGTCGCGACAGGATCTTTGTTGGGCCGTGACCTTTTCAATGCATTTGTGGTAAATTATCGAGCGTGTATTATTTATGGCGATGGCAGTGGGTAGGGGGGGGGATTAGTGCCCCAGTGATGTGAGAGCAACTTTCATGTTGAGAGAGAGCGCTGCAGCCGCGCGTGTGGATGATGATATACTGCAATAATATAATCATGATCATCAGCCATGATCAATCCACTGCTGGATGAACATCTCTCCACCGGGGTTCCACTGACGCGCTCAAATAATATAAACACGAAGTTGAAATCGTAACATAAATGAACGTTTGGTACGTGCGATCCCATCGCGACGTGCGCATGCGCTGATCGCCACGTGTCATGACCCATACCCCCGAACCCACCAGCTAAGCCCCAGCCCGACACCACCACCCCCCACAAAACAGACACATTCGCAAACATCCAGGCGAAACGAATTCGCTAATTGCCAGTGGCGAACTGATTGGCGCCGTCCCGCTATAATCTCCGAGTGTAATTTGGTGCGCAGCCCCCGGGGCCGGTGTCGAACTCGTGCGTGCGGGAGCCAGTAACAACTCTGCAGCCACCAGCGCCAAGCACTCGGCACATTCGTCAATAGCACTGCCATCTAAGGAACCCCTCCCCCCAACCACCCACCCATCCCGGGCATAACGGTTGGACAGGGAGCAAGCCATATGCTCTGCCTCTTCAATTAATATCCTTCAAGGGTCCCCCCCCTGGCCACTCCACATGGGTCCCCCATGGCTCGCAGCCTCTCAATATCGCCCCCGGGTGCCTCTTTGCTATTTGTTTGCTCATGTTTAGACCAAATGTGATCACAGTGTAATTAGTAAGCGAAGTGAAACTGTCACGTATATATGTGCAGCATTACGGAATGTAATGTTATTTTTGTTACGTTATTTTATCACAGAAATCCTCATAGAATCTCAAGGCACATGTTTCAGGTTGGTCCCGCTTTGGGGTATTTGGAAAATTGAGTTTTCCTGGAGAAATCCGATGAGCTATGAAGCTCTTTTTTCACATGTCCAGTAGGGGAAACCGGAGGAAGCAGAGAAAACCATTCCACATCACGAGGGTAGCAACACGAAAGGTTCACACAAACGGGCTGACGATCCCACTTCGCTGTGCTGCCATGTCCTAGCCACTTGGAACCCGCGTGGGTTTCAGAATTTCACAAATCTCTGCATGATCCACCACACACCCCTTGCCTCCAGAGCAGTGGCTCACAGACGACACCTCGCTCGCTTACGATATCGTATTGGCCCCTGGCAAGTCTGTATCTGCGACGGTGAAATCGCCGCTCTGCGAACTCGCCAGTGGAATAATGGCGCAAATCTGAAATGGAACCGCATTTCAAACCTGGCAGGAACTTCCCCCCTTCGTTCTCACGAGTTGGGACACTTTCTTAATGGAAAAGCATCCAACCGTTCAGAGACGGGTGGGGCCTTCGCCCGGAAACACTCCTAGCAAGCAGAGTACATCCCACAGGAATTACATGCACATCGCCCGCTTCACCCAGCGGCAAGTCGTTAATTATAACCAGGAGGAGAACCCAGTAAGACTTAAGCTTCGATTTTTTGTTTCATTGGAGACATGGGATCTGCGAAAAATGTTCCCACAGGGCGCAAAGGCTGATGAATCAAAATTGTATTTTATTGCAGTTATGTGTGTGGAACGGACCGCCCCCACCCCTTGACTGTACCGATGCCCGGGTTGCGTGCGTGCGAGCGCTTGGGTAGAGATGCGGGAGGCGGATGGATGGCGTCGCGTGCACAGAGGCAGGGGGGCACAGATCTACGTGGTCTTCTTCTCTGGGCAGCACGTGACCAGACGCTGCTGAATATTTAATTGAGCACTGCAGCCGAGGAGGGAGCGCTGTGCACTTCATCCAGGAGATGCCCGGGACGAATTTAGGAATTGCTGTGAGCGAGACTCTCGCGTACACGAGCCACGAGTTGTCGCCTAAATAATGGATGTTGCGAATGGGTGGTGTTGGCGGCAGTGACAGTGGTGGTGGTGGTGATGGTGTTGGGGGTGGATTTGGTGGGGATGGTTGTGGTTGTAGTGGAGGTGGTGGTCGGGATGGAGTTGGTTGTGGGGGTGGTGGTGGTTTTGATGGTGGTGGTTGTGGTGATGGTTGTGGTGAAGGGGGGTTAGCAAACTGCAATACGAACCCGGCAACCCGAGTTCGATTCCCGCTGACGGCCAACACCAGTGACGATTATCTGGACCGGTCCCCTGGCCTCACCTACGTCGACTCAGCCTCAAACATGAGTACCTGGTGCGATGTGTAAACATCGCCAATGGGGGAGACAAAGGCGGTCAGGCTCGTCCACTCGTGTGCCTTACTGGCCTTCATAGGTGCAACTCGCGAACAGCACTTTCCCCAACAGTCTGTGATAGGCTATATGGGGGATCGTTGTCTTTGGTGGTTGTGGTGGTAATGGTGATGGAGATGTTGATGGAGATGGTGGTGGTTGTGATGGAGATGGTGGTGGTTGTGATGGTGGTGATGATAGTGGTGGTTGTGTTGGTGGCTCTGGTGATAGTGGTGGCTGTGGTGGTGGCGAGCTGCCCTCTCACCTTGTCCGGCACCGGGTAATGCAGCTGCGTCACGTCCAGCGGGGACATGAGGGCCGGCGAGCCCTCCCCTTCCCACGACGGGGGTCCCTCCGGGGTCCCGGGAGGCACCCCGCCATCTCCACAGGGCTTCCCGCCCAGCCCAGCTCCCACCTTCACCATGCTGCACTGTGGTGGTAGTGCTTGCGGGGCCTACAGTCTACAACAACAACAGCAGCAACAACAACACGGGTCATGCGCGAGGGATGGGTTTTAAATATTTTAGGGGAAAATAGAGGCATTAGAAGCCATTTCCAATAGCTATAGGGGCCGATGTCAAGTAGCCATTGGGATCAATATGGAAGCCAGAGGATCCGATGCCGAATAGCCATTGGGGTCTATATGGAAGAGCCAATAAGGCCGATGTCAAGTAGCCATTGGGGTCTAGATGGAAGAGCCAATGGGGCCGATGTTAATTACCATTGGGGTCAATATGGAATAGCCATAGGATCCGATGCCGAATAGCCATTGGGGTCAGTATGGAATAGCCAATGGGGCCGATACCGAGCAGCCAATGGGACCCACGCAGTCCCGCAGTGTGTAGCTTGCCCCCCCCCCCCCGCTCTGTCTGGAAGTTGCGGGGAGGGGCTGGCGCCCACCCCCACCCTCCCGAGCCCCTCCCCGCTCCGCGCTCCCGTGCCGCTGACAACAATTTCCACCACAGCTCTGACAACAGCAACAACAGCAACAACAACACGTTGGTGATCACCCTGTTGCTTACTCATGATGGTTACCCCTGATGGTGACCCCTGATGGTTACACGTGGTTACCCCTGATGGTTACACGTGATGGTTACCCCTGATGGTTACACGTGATGGTTACCCCTGATGGTGACCCCTGATGGTTACCCCTGACGGTTACCCTGATGGTTACACGTGATGGTTACCCCTGATGGTTACCCCTGATGGGTACACGTGATGGTTACCCCTGATGGTAACCTCTGATGGTTACCCCTGATGGTTACCCCTGAATGGTTTCACGTGATGGTGACCCCTGATAGTTACCACTGATGGTTACCCCTGATGGTTACCCCTGATATGTCCACGAGGAGCGCGTGTTGGGGCCGCGGGCGTGGAGGTGCGAGGTGGGTGGTGATGTCATCGTGGAGGTGAGTGGTGATGTCATCGTGGAGGTGAGTGGTGATGTCATCGTGGAGGTGCGAGGTGAGTGGTGATGTCATCGTGGAGGTGCGAGGTGAGTGATGTCATCGTGGAGGTGCGAGGTGGGTGGTGGTGATGTCATCGTGGAGGTGCGAGGTGAGTGGTGATATCATCGTGGAGGTGCGAGGTGGGTGGTGATGTCATCGTGGAGGTGCGAGGTGAGTGGTGATGTCATCGTGGAGGTGCGAGGTGGGTGGTGATGTCATCGTGAAGGTGCGAGGTGGGTGATGTCATCGTGGAGGTGCGAGGTGAGTGGTGATGTCATCGTGGAGGTGCGAGGTGGGTGGTGATGTCATCGTGGAGGTGCGAGGTGGGTGATGTCATCGTGGAGGTGCGAGGTGAGTGGTGATGTCATCGTGGAGGTGCGAGGTGGGTGGTGATGTCATCGTGGAGGTGCGAGGTGGGTGATGTCATCGTGGAGGTGCGAGGTGAGAGGTGATATCACCGTGGAGGTGCGAGGTGACTGGTGATATCATCGCTTGGAGCGGCAGCCACGGCGGTTACGGAACAATGCCGTGCACTCGTCATGATGGTCCGTCGTTGATGGATGATGATGATCGATGATTATGACCGATTATCGGTGACGATTATTTTTTGATGATCATGACGACGCCGATGAGGCTTGTTGTTGTGATTGACGATCAATGAGGATTGATTATAACGATTATGATTTATAATGGCGGTGGTGATGATGATGGTGGTTGTCATTGATTGAAGGTAGTTATGATTATTGATGATGATGATTCCCATTGTCGATGGAACACAATGGTAATGGTCGGTGTTCGTGATGGCCATCGATGATGATGGCCCGTGCCGGTGATGCCATGTTCTCGATCGAGTTTTCGACACCGCGAGCTCCACATTATCCTCATCATCATCACCATCATCATCATTTGTCGCGAGCGCACGCGCGCAGGGCGTCCGTAAAGACGGCAGCGCCTCCTCCCGCCCGCCTTTGTTTCGCCTTCACAGCTCGCAGCTGCGCGACGCAGCCTCGCTCCGGAAATTCGTTCACGAGTCGCACGCCCGGCGACCCGCCAAGGGGGTGAAACATGCGTTGACCCTGAACCGATAGCCGGGAAAACGAGACGGGCAAGCGCTACGCGTGCGTCAACCATTTTGATGCACGAGTTACGTTGATGACAATGGCCATAGGGCAGCATACACGAGGAACCCACGCTGTGGACTGCAGACGATGCGCAGGCTGCTGCTGCCTGCATATAGAGACGCACGAGAGATGCATCCGTACAGAATGTGGCTGCGGTTGTGGCATGCGGTATCTAATTAGGCGGGCTGTGTGTGCCTCCGTCGTCCATCACCCACACAATAGAGGCGCGTCACATGCGCGTGGGTCCATGTTGTCGTGCGGGCGATGCACATCTATTGTGTCCGTGATGTGCATGTGCCGCGTCTGTGGCGTGTTACGCGCGTCGTGCATATGTGGTTGGTTATGTAGGCGCATACACACAGCGTAAATGCACGCCAGCACACACACACACGCGCGCGCACGCACCACGATGACAGGACGCTCGCTCTGTCACCGAGCGTCTTTAGCCGCAGAAGGAGAGACAATAAAAACAAAAACAATAAAAACCTCTCGCGAAACCCCAAACCGCGCGTCACGTTGCGCATCCAACTGCCTGCAGCCTCGCCCGCGGATGAGCGAGGGGACAGGGACCGGGATACGCGGAGCGCTCCGGGATGAACGACGGCGGCCGCTCGCTGCATCACGGGCCCGCCAGGGCTAACGCCCGGGGCACCGTCCGACCTTTCTTCCCCCCCTCCCCGCTCCTTGCCTCCCGACCTTCCACCCGCCCGCCCGCCCGACATCTACCCCGTACCTGAATGAAGCGGGACCGAGGTCTCTGGTTGCAGCTGCAGCAAGCGCGGCTCGGAGCCGCCGCTGGCTCAGTTCGGCAAAAATGGCGAAGCGAGCTGCGCGGCGCGGCGAAGGGGGCTGGGGGAGCGCGGCACACGCAGGTGGAGAGCGGGACGTGCGCGTGCGCGCGTGCGCGTGTGTACACGTGTGCGCGTGCGCGTGTGTGTTCGTGAGCGCGCCTCGCTCCGTATTCAGCGCACGATCGCTCCGCGCTCCGCGTCGCGGGAGTTCGCCGCCGCGCAGCGCACTCGACACAAACACAGCCAGCGCGCCCTCCTCTTCAGTCCCCGTTTGGCGAACGCGCACGGATTTCTCTCGTGTTACTCCCATTGTGATTTTGATTTTGTACATTTTATCATTATATTTTTGGGAGGGATGGCGGTAGAGGGTGGGGGGTGACGACCATTGTATTCCGCCCGCTCGCGTTCTCAAGCCGCTTAATAGGCGATGGAATCGCCTCGCGCCAATTAGCGGGTCGGGGGTTCGTGCCGCTGTGCGCGAGGCTTAATTGGATGCGCGTCACGTAGGCGCTCCGCGGCTGCACGGGGCGCCGGTTTTGGCACGGGGAGCGCTGCGCGTCTGTGCACGTTTCGCTTTAGCGTGCGCGTCACCATTCCGGCAAGCCGGGACGTTCAGATGCCGATCGGCAACATGATTAACCCGCGGCGCCGTAGGGGGGGGGGGGGGTCGCGTGGCGTGAATCCGCGGGCGGAGTGGAGTGCCGTAGGTGGCGTGGCAGGTGCGGACCCCGTTCCTGCAATGCGGTAGGGGGGGTCCGCGCATACGCCTCGTGGCGAGGGGGTGCGAGGGGATCGGTGGGGACCAGAGGTTCCCTTCTCTCTTGGCACTGGGGACCCCTTTTGGCAGGGGCACCCAACGTCGCGCAGGCGGAAAGGGGTTCGCGGCCACCGGCTGGAGCGACCCCTCGTGGTCCAACGCAGCGAAACCCGACCCGACTGCCGCTTTCAATTTGCTGATCCGTAACCAATACAACGCGGTCATTCCACGTTATTATGGCGGGGGCTTTCAGAAACTGTTGGTATTTTTCATTAAAATGTGTGCTCATTGTGTCGCCTACGGAGGAGAGATGACTCAGTGGATGATGACTAGGAATGAGAATTGAACGCGCACCCTGATGAGTGTAAGGCGACTTCTCTGTGAACTCTCTGAGTGTTGGAGAGTACGTTGTGTATCTCTTAGAAGAGTGATATTTACTATACAGTATACAGTGGCGTGCATACACGCGTGTGAAATTACTCCAACCATTTAAAAAAA